CCCGGAGAAGTCGCGCGAGACTACGGAAAGACAGTTGATAGACTAGCAGCAGTATTGTTAGAGTCAGCCACTGAAGGTGCATTCTACACCCCGACAGAAAAAAGAACCATACACGAATACATAATACCTCAAACGCTAATAAATTATCAACTCGGGCAAAATGATCAGCTGCAAACCATATTACGATACCGAACTCCCGCTACACTGGCAGAAGCAATCGCCGGATCTATGAAGAAAGAAAAGGTGAAAGGACTAACGAATTACTATAATAATCGGGAAACTGCACTCTCATATAATAATCGATCGACGACACATCCGCGGGCCCGAGAAAACACTAGACACTCGACGTGTCATAAATGCGGCCAAATAGGACATCTAGGGAAGGATTGTCGTACCAACCGTTACGCTAACCGATTTACCCTACCAACATTAAGTGAACGCCCTCGCGTAAACGCGATGGGAAAATATTGCACACACTGTAAAAGGTAGGACATACACGCGAAGAAGCTGCATGGGCTGCTGGAAACTGCATGGGAAGCCGGCTGAATACGCTGCACCTAACTTCGAACGTCGCGAGGGGCGATAAAGTACAAATAACGCCTCCACAGATAGGTGTGGAACAAATCAAGGAGACCCATCCATCGAAAGCAAAAATAACAACGAGAGGCAAAAACGAGAAAATAAAACACAAAGTACCCAAGAATTTCAAATTAATCAAATTAGGAAGGCAAAATAAACACACAAAGGACTGGACTTAGTAATCCTCCCAATAAGCAAAACCAGAAGGGAAAAATTCTGCTCATATTGGATAACTGCTCGTCAATTAGTTTTGTAAAAGTACGAACCTTAAAAAAGAAAACTTCAGTGACTATAGACGAAGAAACACTGACCGGATTAACCGGACATCAAACAAGCACGCTAGGCACATTTATAGCGACCATGAAACTAGGGAGGCATGTCCTACAACACGAAATCTACGTAGTAAAAGATGATTTCCCCATCGAGTACGAGGGAATATTAGGAGTAGATTTCCTGCAGGCGCATAAGGCGACTTGCGATTATCAGAGCAGGAAACTGAAAATTCTAGGGAACAATTTAGGTCTATTACCCCATCAAACATATCAGATATCTGCCCGAAGTGAAACAATAATAAAAGCTGCAACGAACGTAAATTCAATAGGAATCGTTAGAGCTGAAGAGAGAAAACCTGGAGTTTTTATTGGAAATTGTCTGGTAAAATCAAATAATTACACTTGTAACGTGAGCATTATAAATCCTAGGGAGGATTCAGTCGAAATAGCCACCCCGTATGTGACCTTAGAAGACATGCCACATACTAACGAGAAAGAGATAAATCTAATAAATACGAGACAGAAACATGAAGCACGGTGCAAGCACGAATAGAAAAATTGAAGCTACAATTACGCCTGCAACACTTGAACTATGAAGAGCGAAAATAGTACACGCAATTTGTGAGGATTTCAGCGATGTATTCCTCCTTGAAGGAGATCATCTCACTCACATTACAGCGGTAGAGCATCCTATTGCTACTCGAGTTAATGTAACGCCAGTAAATATAAAACCGTACCGTCTGCCCAAGAAAAATAAGCAAGAAGTAGATCGACAAGTACGAGATATGCTCGATGTTGGCATCGTTCGTCCTAGCACCAGCCAATGGAATGCTCCCCTATTGGTACTGCTAAAAAAACCGACGCGACCGCAAAAACCGAATTGCGAGTAGTGATTGATTTCAGAAAATTAAATGATCTAACGGTAGGAGATTCCTTCCCGTTACCAAAAATAAATCATATCCTGAACCAGCTTGGAAATGCAAAATATTTCACAACATTAGATTAACGTCAGGTTATCATCAAATTCCAATGGGCAAACAAGATAAGTATAAAACAGCATTCTCAACACCCACAGGACATTTCGAATTCAATTGAATGCCTTTCGGGTTAAAAAACGCACCACCAACCTTTCAGCGACTAATAAATACAGAATTAGCAGGACTACAAGGTTTATAATGCCTGGTATATTTAGACGACATCGTCATCTATGGGTCCAGCCTGGAGGACCGTAACAAAAAATTAACCACTGTATTAAAGAGTTGCGCTAAAGCAATTTAAAATTACAGTCAGACAAGTGCAATTTCCTATGGAAAGAAGTTACGTATTTAGGGCATATAATTTCAGAAAAGGAAATTTTACCTGACCCATCAAAATTAGAGATAGTACACATGTTCCCAGTTTCAAAAAAAGTCAAATATATACAATCTTTCATAGGTTTAGCCGGATACTCTCTACGATTCATAGAAATTTTTTCTAAGGTAGCGCGACCTCTAACAAAATTTAAAAAAAAACACCATTTGAATTGAGAAAGAACAAGAACATATGTTTATAACATTAAAGGAAAAATTGACAACCGCTCTCGTACTATAGTGTCCGGAATTCGACAAGGGATTTATCATTACCACCGACGCTTCGAATTTCGCGATAAGAGCTATATTGTCACAAGGGACGATTGGGAAAGACAACCCTATAACTTACGTTAGCCGCGTATTATCACGCACAGAACAAAATGACAGCCCTACGGGAAAAGAACTGCTAGCAATAGTATGGGCAGTAAAAAATTTTCGCCCGTATGTACATGGAACAAAATTCAAAATAATAACCGACCCTAAACCACTGGTATGGCTATTTAACGTCACGGACTTCGGATCACGAATAATGAGGTGGCGACTAAAATTAGAAGAATATGATTACGAAATCATACACAAGGCCGGACGAGCGAACACGAACGCCGACGCGCTTAGCAGAAACATAATACGACCTGTCTTAAATATAGGCGCGCAGGAGGAGGCAGAGGAAAAGGACGAAGAAAAAAAATACGCTGAACAAAATTATGCGGACGAAACAGGAAACCCTCGGAAATGTACCGAAGAAGAAAAAAGACAAATACTTTATGAATATCACGATGCATCTCTTGGAGGGCATCAAGACATACAAAGAACAATAAAGAGAATACAGCTAAATCACCAATAGAAAAATATGGCGGACGATATAAAAAAATATATTAATAAATATGAACTATATCAAATAAACAAATTATCGCAAAACACTAAAAAGCTTCTCGTAATCACCGATACCCTGCGCAAACCATTTGAAAAATGCGCATTAGACATTGTAGGACCATTGACAGTTACA